TGGGCAGCACTGAAGATATCCATTCTGTCCACTTTCATGGGCAGATCTTCAGCGTCAGGACGAGCCAGGAGTATCGCATGGGAGTCTACAACCTTTATCCTGGTGAGATGCGGCATGTCGTGCACACCCTGGCTGCATGGCTTCGTGTCTGCACCCGTTTGGATGTGCTGAGGGACAGCAAGGATGGGGAATGGGTCCGACAGAGTCAGGCTCTGCGTTTGCACAGCATTTGGCACCACTGCATTGTGCTATGGCTGGTTAATCCCCTCTGCTCTGCTCTCCATTCCTGGACAGGTGTCTTTGGGACGGTGGAGATGCATCCCTCGCACGCTGGGATCTGGCGGGTGGAGTGCAAAGTGGGGGAGCACCTGCAGGCTGGGATGAGTGCCCTCTTCCTCGTGTACAACCAGGGTGAGTGGCCCCCTTGTGCCCAGAGCAGCACGCTTTGAGCTCCCTGTCCCCATAGGTTGTCCAGCCAGCATCCCCTGAGTTCTCATTCGGTTCATATTTTGACTTCAGCCCTTGCAAATTATAACACATCCCTGGCAGAGGTCTGTTTGGGGTGAAGGACAGAGACCAGCTTTATTTGGCTGCAAATATTTTCTCCCAGAGCGCGTGCCAAGAGGTAAACTGAGGCACAGAGTGCAATGCTGCCCGATGGCAAGTCGCTCTGATGGAAACATCCCTGATAGCAACTGCCAAGTGCACAGGAAACCTCTGGCTCCACTTCCTCCAGAACAACACATTTCTCTCTCTCTGTAAATGCAGGGGGAAGCAGTTAGCGAGGCTGGTGCTTTATCACACTGTGAGAGCCCCTCTCCTCTTCCTAAAGGAGCAGTAAATGTCAGCCAGAAAACATTTCCATAACTTAAAAATCTACTTAAGATTTCAAAATGCATGTTTTTCCCCAGAAGCATTTGCCATGCAGCGGTGATGCCAAGATGTGACAAGTTGCTAATAATAAGAGCTATTATAAGAGGCAAGCAGCCCTGTGCTCAGCAGAGCAGAAGAGAGACAGGAGTGTTAGGCAGGTTTCCCTTTAGCAACGTGATATTTGTTTTTTAAAGATGCTGCCTAGCAACAAAAAGGCCCAGGGGTGAGACACAGGTGTAAGGAAGAGCCACTTGTCAGCATTGCTGGGAGATAGAGACATGGGGACAGGAGGTCATGGGCTTAGGGATGGAAGAGCAGCACTAGCATGGCAAGCGATTGATGTTGGGACCTTTGCTGTGGCCTCTATCAACCAGCCATCCCTGTTTTTCTTCTTGTTTGCCTGCAGATTGCCAGAATGCCCTGGGCATGGCCTCGGGCTACATTGCAGACTCCCAGATCACGGCATCAGGGCAGGAAGGTGAGTTTGGGGTGGTTGTTGGGGCTGGGTCTGATTCAGCACGCACAACACAAAGGTGGTCAAAGCTGGACTTGAGCAAGTCCCCTCCATCCATGCCCAGGTCAGGGTCCCCTGAAGAGACACCAGAAGGTGCCTCCCCATTTCACCAGGGCTGTGTCACCCTGCTTGAAGCTGCTGACTCCTCAGGAGATGGGCGATGCTCAGGGCCCATCCTGCAGGTGGGCAGCTCACCACTTCCTGCTCCTCATCCCTGTGCACTCTCCTTGCAGGTCCATGGGCCCCTAAGCTGGCCAGGCTGCACAACTCCGGCTCCATCAATGCGTGGAGCACTGGTGAAGGCAACCCCTGGATCCAGGTGAGAGGGGATCTGTGGCCATGGGTGCTGCTGAGGACAATGCCAGGCACACACTGTCCGGTGCACCCCGCAGGAGGACCCACGTACACGGCCATCAGAATTGAACCTTGAATTTCATTCCCAGGTGGACCTTTTACACCTCAAGATCATTCATGGCATAAAGACCCAAGGGGCTCGACAAAGGCTCTCCAGTCTCTACGTCTCTCAGTTTGTTGTTTTCTATAGCCTTGATGGGCAAAGGTGGAAGAAATACAAAGGCAACGCAACCAGCACACAGATGGTGAGCAGGATCAGTAAAAGGACTGATTTAAAAAAAACAACTTGGTGAATATATAGAAAGTTCATTTGCATAGACCCTGAGTTTCTCCCCCTCCGTTTCTCAGTGGTTTGCCCTGATTTGCCCCATTCACATTTCTTTGGTCTGAGTCACACTTCAAAACATTCCCTGAGCTGTTGTTCTCTTGTAAGGATGGTGATAAGATACAGAAGCGCCAGACTGAAATGATCTTGTCCATGCTAATCCTTGTCCTGGCTAGCTCGTTCCACCCACACAACTGCCCCTTTTTAACCCCTTCCCTGCAGATGTTCTTTGCAAATGTGGATGCAACCACAGTGAAAGAAAATCGCTTCAACCCTCCGATCGTAGCCCGTTACATCCGCATCAGCCCCACTCACTACAGCATCCGCACCACGCTGCGCATGGAGCTCATTGGCTGTGATCTCAACAGTAAGTCCCACCTGGGATGCCCAGCACTGGTGCTGGGGGCTGATCCAGATGGCTGCTGAGTGCTCAGATTTGGGATTCCCCTTGTTTCAAGTCCCCTCAGGTGGGAAGGAGTTGGCAGGAGATGGTGGTGGGGGAGCCAAGCTGGAAAAATGGCTTTGTGTCTTTAGAGATAGCAGTAGCAAAAGCACGGCAGTGGGGCCCTCGCCACTTTGTCCTGAAGCACAGGAAACTTTGGGCAGCAGCTGAGCTGATAGCTGAGAAGGTTGCTGCCTCAGCCTGGGGAGCAGGGAACAAACAGAGATGTGCTCTTGGCTTTTTGATCCGAGACCCTTTAGCTTTGCACAGAGCAAGGCAGATCCTTACAGGTAGCAGCTCTGTGATGGCACCCCACAGCAGGCAGGTGCACATGCACACCAGTTCATGTGTGTCCAGTGTGTCTCCAGTCATCCTTCCCCTTGAAACGAGTTTGTCCTGGCAGACAAATACTCCAGATTCCCCCTAGATCATATCTCCAGGGAGAAAAGAAGGTGGGAGGAGTGGCAGGTGTCATTTGTCACTGCCCAGCCAGAGCCATGCTGCAAAGGCACTGAGCAGCACAGCAGTGGTGCTGCAAAGCACAGGAGATGCTGTGAGCAGGAAAGTGCGTGGAGGGCAGAGAGAGGAGTGTGCAGCTAGGATGCATCTCCATGATGGGTGTCTGTTATCCCTTCTGACAAGTTGCTTCTCTTCCAGGCTGCTCCATGCCCCTGGGAATGGAGAGCAAAGGGATCCCTGACCAGCGCATCTCTGCGTCATCCCAGAGCTCCAACATCTTCTCCAACTGGTCACCCTCCCAGGCCCGCCTGCACCTGCAGGGAAGGACCAATGCATGGAGACCAAAGGTAGCCCAGCAAGGAGACCCCCGGCAGGCAGCCGGGGCATGAAATAGGCAGGCTGGGTGCTCACTCCTCTCCTGGCCAGGGTACCAGGGTACCTTGAGTAGTGATTCAGCTACACATACCAGATGCAGACAGGTTGCCCCCAAGCAGCTCTAACCCTGATGGGGTGGGTGAAGCCCAGGATGGCATGCAGGGTCAGTGTGGCTTCAGCTGCTAGGATCTTTTTTCTCATTGCTGTGGGTGGTGATGCTGAAGAGTAAAGGCAATGTGTCTTTCCTCAGAGCAACAGCCCCAATGAGTGGTTGCAGGTGGACTTTGAAGCAACCAAAAAGGTGACTGCAATCATAACCCAAGGTGCCAAGTCTGTCTTCACTCACATGTTTGTGAAGGAGTTTGCTGTTTCCAGCAGCCAGGATGGTGTCCACTGGAGCCCAGTCCTGCATGATGGCAAGGAGAAGGTAGGCAGAACTGCAGCAGCTCTGGGGCAGCAAACATGCCCACAGCAGTTTTGTAACAGCAGCTAACCAAGCTGTGCTTTTTTCCACCCTAAAGAGTTCCCAAGAGGCTCTTGTCCATGTTGGTTGTGCCCTCAAGCCATGGGCTCTCTGCACCAGAGCTCAGCAAAGCAACCAGCACCTCACAGACTCCTCTTTCCTTTCCAGATTTTCAAGGCAAACAGAGATTACACCACCACAGTGCTCAACAGCCTGGAGCCACCGCTCTTTGCCCGCTATGTGAGGATACACCCCCGCCACTGGCACAACCACATCGCCCTGCGGATAGAGTTCCTTGGCTGTGACACCCAGCAGGAGTACTGATGGGCAGTGCTGGCCCACGGACCCACATCCAGCAGGACACTGAACTCTCACTGGGGCTGGAGCTGGCCCTGTGTGTCCAGGAGGTGCTGGTGGCATCAGCAGAGGTTTCTCTGCTCCCATTGCTGTGCTAATGGCTCCTGCTGACAGAGAGGACTGTTTGTCATCATTCTCTTCCTGCTCCTCATCTACCCCATGCCTTATAGTCAGACGTAATGCTGAAGAATTAAACAGTAATTTTCCAGTATCTCTGCACTTTCTCCTCTTCTCCAACCTTGGAGTCTCCAGGGGCTCAGTCAGCATTACCAGCAGCCAGTAATTAAATAATGAGCCCTAGCGATCCTGGGCTTTGTTTTCCAGCAGCACAGCCCTGGAGGAGGCGGTGCAAAGATAAGGGCTGGGGGCAGAGGCCCTGCTCCCCTCCCCAGGGCACATTTCACAACCAGTGGGGATCTGGATGCCTTGCCTGGAGGCAGTGCTTGCACAACTCAACTCAGCACTGGGCTTTGGCCCTCAGTTCCCTTAATCTCCTTCCTATGCTGTGCTGACATGGCTGGATACCACCCTGGGGCTTTTTAGGGCTGGCTGCAGCACTGTTCTCCTTGTTTCTGACTGGAAGAGCTCTGTTGGTGCATTGGTGGCTTTGGTTGGACATTGCCCATGCCAGTACATGCTCTGGCATGCATTACTGGAAGTGTCTCTTGACATTTATCTTGTGAGGAATGGAAACCAGATGCCATTTCCTCCTGGCGCGACGCAGCTCTCAGCTGCACTGCAGCTTTCCCCAACCCACAGATGTTTTTGTGCAGAGGAAGGACTGGAGCAGTGCAAAGTGCTCTGCCTTGTCCCATGTGCTCTGCAGCTGCCTCCAGGGGAACACAGGAAGGTCCTGGCTAGATGGTGCCGGCTGGAAAACTGGTCTCACACCTCTCTTCCCACACTTGTAAGCAGTGAAGCTGACAGCACTGCTCTCTGCACAGCACTGAATCCATTCCTAGAGGCCCCAGAAGGACCTTTGCCTGCTTCTTGTCCTTTCTGCAGCTTTATTTCAGGAGGAGATGCCCACAAAGCCTGCCCAAACCCCAGTAGGACTCAGCTCCTCGCAGCACCACGGGGCAGGTACACAGCGGCAGCGCTCCTCTCCATAGGGCTCTGTGGGCTTCAGCCCCCTTCCCATGCTCACAGCCCTGTGGATATTTCTCCCCCTCCTTATTACATCTCCCATCCCAGCAGTGCTCAGGGACTCTGTGAGTTTTCTGTTGGTGTGAACCTTCTGGAACGATGCTACCTCAGAAAGGTCCAGAGCATTGTGGGGCAGGTAGGTGGTGGCCGTGGCTTTTGGGGTGCCTACCTCTCTGCAGTGGCAGCGTTGCTATCAGTGTGCCAGAGGCTGTGCCCGTCCTTCCCCTGTGCTGTGAGTGCTGGGGGAGGGAAGGGGTCCGGCTGCCCTAAACCAGTGGAGATCAGAAGCTGATGTTTTGATGGAAGCGGTGCTGGAAACCCCACGCATCCTCCTCGTGCATTGCTGTACAAGGAGCCTTTGCTGTGGCCCTGGCTAGTGATTACATTACAGCCCCAGACATGAGGTGTAATTACCCTTTGGCTTAATTGCATTCTGACAGTAATCAAGCACATATGGCAGCAGACACTGCCTGGTGTGAGCGAGCCTGAAGGGAGGAGCTGGGACCATAAGCTCCTCAACAGGGAGCACTCCCACCAGGGGACCTGGTGAAAGGTCTTTCCTTCAGCACAGCAGGGCAGAACCTGCTGCATCAGGCCCTTCTCAAGGAAGCACAGATCTAACCACGGCTATCTCAGTAGGCCAGGCTGGACCTGACCAGCTGAAGCTTAAATGCCCTCCCAAAAGCAGGCTCAGATGCAGTCCTATAGCAGCAGGACTGGCTGCTCTCTGTGATGGGAACATGGTCCCTGGCCCCTCCATTGCATGCTCAGCTCCTGCCTCCAGAAACAAGCAGCTCTGCACAGATGTCTGGTGACGTAGGATTAGATGAGAAGAAATGCTGCCCAGAACAGGGCCTTCTCCGGATCACTTTTCAAAGAGAAAACAGCTGAAGCCTCTGTGGGCAATCCAGCAGCTTTTGCTGGGCAGCCCTCAGGATGTTCTCCAGCCGCCCAGCACACAGTGAGAGAGCTGGGATGGGGCTGCAGGGAGCTGTGTCAGAGTCTGCCAAGCTCTGGCATGCATTACTGGAAGTGTCTCTTGACATTTATCTTGTGAGGAATGGAAACCAGATGCCATTTCCTCCTGGCACGACGCAGCTCTCAGCTGCACTGTAGCTTTCCCCAACCCACAGATGTTTTTGTGCAGAGGAAGGACTGGAGCAGTGCAAAGTGCTCTGCCTTGTCCCATGTGCTCTGCAGCTGCCTCCAGGCCAGCTGAGCAGGGCTTGGGAGAGGGCAGTCTCAGCAGAGCCCTCCAACCTCCTGAGCACATCTGCGGGTGCTGCATGCTATCAGGGCACTTCTCAAGGCCCTCAACCTAGTTTTTTTCTCACAGTGCTCTGATTTTACAGGCGTCCTCCCAGGCAGCCCTGCAGACAAAGACCAAGACCCAGGGCCCAACGGAAAGTCACTGCTCAGCTGTGTGAGGCCATGGTCCTGCGAGCTGTCTTGTTCCTGATCGCCGTGCTGACCGCCTTGTTCTGCCAACACGTCTCCAAGCACAGGATCACCTCCCAGCTGGGTGGGGTGATGCAGAAGATGAGGCTGGCAGGCCACCAGGGGAGATACTTGGATGACACACGGAAGGCCCCTCTTCACGCACACGAGGGGGAAAGCTCCAGCCAGGAGATGCAGCGTAAGTACACTGCAGTGCTTTGTGCAACACCTCTGCACAGCAACACGGGGGAAGAAGGCCCTGACCCTGCTTCAAAATACGCTCAGATCCAGGGAAAATGCACTGATATTGCTCTGTTTCTCTGCTCTCTGCCTCACAAAGATACGTCTCTTCTCAGGCGTCCGTCGGTCCTGGCTGGAGGATTACCTGGGTGACGTGTGGTCTCACTTTGCTGAGAACTTCCCCATTGCCGTCCTGTACATCTTCCCCATCACCGTGCTGATCCTGCTCCTCCTCTGCTGCCTCACGTATGTGTGTGCATTGCACACCCCCCGGTGCTCCTGTTCTCAAGAGCTGTGTTTGCTGGGTTGCAGCTCTGCAATGCCTGTCCCAGCACAAGGCAGCAGGGAGGAGGTGCTCCTTGGGCTCCTCGTTGTTTTTTAGGGTAAGTATGGAGTGAGGTGACCTGGAGAAGCAGCGTGGCTACACTGAAAGAAATTCTGGTGCTTTGATGGAGCACAGCTCATCAAAGCCTCCAAAAGAAGCTCAAAGGAGCCTCCAAAACTCCAGGAACCCCAAAGCGGTGCGGAAGGGCCAGGAGCAGAACCACCTTTCTCTTCCTTTCAGATGATTTTAAAGATTCTCCCAGACTGAATTTCCCACTCCCACATAAAGTTCAGACTTCGCCTGAGGCTCTGCTCTCTGACTTATAGCCAGAACACAAGAGGTTCACTGGGGTTCATAGAATCATTAAGGTTGGAAAAGACCTCTCAGATCCCCGAGTCCAACCCCAACCCATCTCACCATGCTCATAACCATGACCCTGAGTGCCACATGCCCACTGTTCTGGAGCACCTCCTAAGATGATGACCCCACGGCTCCCTGGGCAGCTGAGCCAATGCAGCACCGCTCTTTCAGAGAAGCTTTCCCTAATATCCGACCTGAACCTCGCCTGGTGCATCTTGAGGCCATCACCTCTCATCCTATCACTGTTAACTGGGAGAAGAGGCCAACCCTCACCTCACTACAACCTCATCTCAGGGAGTTGGAGAGAGCAAAGCATAGAATCATAGAATTGCTTGGAAAAGACCTTAAAGATCATCAGTTCCAAACTCAACCCAATCATACTACGCTAACTCTAACAACCCACTGCTAAATAACATCCCTGAGCACCACATCCAGACGGTTTGAATTCAGAAGATCCAGGTTAATGTCCTGTTGGCCTTAGCATGTGTCAGAAACTGGGAGTTTAACTCTTATTTAAGGCTCTGAAGGCCTTTGGTTTGGGCAGCAGTTTAATCCAAAGTTTCTAGGTTATGGTGAGGGGTGGTAGGGAGGTTGGTGGTGCAGCTAGGATGGCCGTGTGATGCTTTGTTAGGGGGTCATAATTTTATCACAGAATCACAGAATTGTAGGGGCTGGAGGGGATCTCTAGAGATCATCGAATCCAACCCACTGCAAAGCAAGCTTCCTACAGCAGGCTGCACAGGTAGGCATCCAGCTGGGTCTTGAATATCTCCAGGGAAGGAGAATCCACAACCTCCCTGAGCAGCCTGTTCCAGTGCTCCGTCACCTTTACCATGAAGAAATTCCTTTGCATATTGGTGCATATCTTCCTATGCTCAGGTTTACGGCCATTTCCCCTTGTCCTGTCCCCACGGACTGCTGACAAGAGGTTGGCCATGTCTCTTTGACTCCCACACTTAAGATATTTATAAACATTAATAAGATCCCCTCTCAGTCTTCTGTTCTCAAGGCTGAACAGAGCCAGTTCCCTCAGCCTTTCCTCATGGGGGAGATGCTCCAGGCCCTGTATCACCTTTGTGGCCTTCTGCTGGACTCTCTCCAGGACATCCCCGTCTTTTTTGTACCTGGGAACCCAGAACTGGATGCAGTACTGCAGCTGAGACCCGACCAGGGCAGAGCAGAGGGGGAGGATCACCTCCCTTCACCTGCTGGCCGCGCTCCTTTTAATGCACCCCAGGAACCCACTGCCCTTCTTGGCACACAAACCACATTTTAAGTATGCGTTCAGGGGAGCCGGGGGAAAGTGTAATAACTGAGCAGCACGAGAGGCAAAGGCAGAACAGCCACAGAGGAACAGCACTGTACGGACTGCGGCTGTCGGGTCACCTCCTGCTTGGATGACGAATCATTTGAGGCACAACCCACGGCCCTCGCGCCCCCCGAGCCCCCACGCACGCCGCCCCAGCGCCGATAGGGGCTCCTCAACGCCCAGCCCCGAGGCTCCGCCCGGCGCTGCGCCGCCAGCCCGTCCTCGTCCCGCCCCGCGCCGGGCGGAGCGTGCGGCAAACGCGGCGCTGCTGGAGCCGGCTTGGTACGGCGGGGCCGGGCCGCTCTGCTGGAGCCAACGGAACCGGCTGCGGCTGCTGGCGGCGCGCCGGGCCGGGGGGATGACGCTCAAATCGAGCCGCGGCGGCGGAGGGGGAAGCGGCAGCATGAGGACGGCGCTGTCCGACCTCTACCTGGAGCACCTGCTGCAGAACCGGGCCAAGCCCGAGGTGAGCACCGAGCGCCCGCGGACCCCGCCGGAGCCCCGAGACCCCCGGCCTTGTCCGGGAGCCGGCTTAGCGGGGCTGGGGGCGGGGAGGGAGCGCAGCGTCCTGTGTGCTTGTTTTGCTGCGAAGTTGCGGCTGGTCTGAGCTGGAAACGGGAGCGGGAGGGGATCCGGGGCTGCAGCGCAAACAGCGCGGGGTCGTTCCTTGCTGCTGTCATTTGGGATGAAGGGAGAAGAGCAGAGCGGCAGCCCGTGGCTGAGCCGTGCTGTCCGCATAGGGACGGGGTTTCTGTGCTGCCCCGGAAAGCAGACGGGAGATTTCCACCAAGCTGCTTTTGGCCCATCCAGGGCTTCCAAAGGAGGTTTGTCTGGTCTGGCCCGTGCTGGTGGTTTGTTTGTGTGCTTTTTATGGCTCAGCGCTGGCAGAGCGCTGCAAAAAATAAGTAGAAGATGCATTTGGAGCAAGTGCTGCTGAGAGGGGCTCTCCATCCATCCCTGGAGCAGGGATAAATCAATCCCCCACGCAGTGCAGCACGGAGAACATAGGAGCTGGCCTGCAGCTGCCCACTGCCACGATGCATTTGTTCCAGCAGGGATAAAGAGGAAGGTGACCAGCTGGGAGCTGTTAGGAGGTGCTCCATAGGGCTTGTGCCCAGCTGGGTTGTGTATCTGGTTGTGTGCTCATTCCTGCAGCATGCAGGGTGGCAGGGACGTGGCAGCGGTTCTCAGGGCTCTGGGTCAGGCTGGCTGCCTCCCAGCTCAAATCACAGAGAGGTTCCAATTCCTGCTGCTCCTGATGCAGCAGGGATCCCAAACCCATGTGAGTGGAGGCAGTCGTGGCTTGAAAGCAAGCAAAAGTGCAGGAGGCTGCAGCCCTCTTCCCTTCAGCCCCTCCATGTGCCTGCCTGGCTTTTCTTTATCTATTAATGGCAAATAAAGATTTGCCAGGGAGATGTGGGTTTTGCTCCCAGTGGTGCTGCTGGCTTGCAGGGTGACCTTGGGCATGCCACCTAATCTGCTGTGATACAGTTCTCCAGCTGTAAAATGGGCAGCGGGTCTGTTGTTTGGGAGGAGGGTCTTTCTCAGAGCTGGGGGTGTGGAGGGGGACAGCGTGTGACCCCATGGCAGCATCACATGGCATCAAACCAGTGCCATTTCCAGCTGTGGTCCCTCTTCTGAAATGACTGTGGGTGAAAATAGTGGTTGGGAGCTGAGCAAAACTCCTCCTGGGTTTGACCAAAATAAATGATGGGGGTGTAGGACTGGCTTTGGCTCTTTAATCGTGAATGCGGTTTGTGCTGTTCCAGGCTGTGTGGCTGCAGGGAAAATGCCACTTGGAAGGCAGGGAATGGAGTGCTGCTGCTCCTCAAAGCCCCATCCATTTTACTGGCTGTCCCTCGGAGGTGGCAGGTTTCACTAACACGTCTGGAGGGCTGCGTTGGCCTTCCCTGCTGGGAAAGCAGTGCCTCAGCAAAACTGATGGGGCTGCTTGGGAATGTGGCCCTTCTCTATCACAGCACTCAGTGAGCTGCAGTGAGGGCAGCATCTTCTGCCCTCCACAGCCGCTTGTGTTCTTCCTGCTCCTTTGTTTCCCATCCCCTGTGACCTGTTGACATAGCTGTGTCTTTTCCCAGTTTCAGCAGCGTAATTTTGTTTGATTTAAGTGGGTGGGTTTTTTTTTTTCTTCTTAAAATGGACCATTTTACTGGAAGAGGTCTTGAATGAGGTCTGCTCCAGGCTGACCTGAGTGGGCAGCAGCCTCAGACCAGAATGAATTACTACTAAATATCCACATGCCCACCTCTCCCCCCGTTTTGTATTTGCTGGTTTGCTTTTGTTTGTTGCTGTGCTTTTTAGGCACCTCAGTGCATGCATTTGTTGTGCAGTGGTAATGCTCTCAGGCAGGAGGAGAGGCTGCTGGGCCAGCACCAAGCAGAGCAGATCCAGGCAGAGCCACCCCAGGGCAGGGATGTGCCCAAGGCTCGTGTCCTGGCCTCCCCTCCACACCCACAGTGATTATGTCCAGATGAAGGGTGATGGTGCTGAGAGCTGGCATTTTGCTGCTTGCCATAGCTGGGACTGTTCTGCCCTTTTTCATCTCTCTGCTGTTGTGCTTTGAGGGCCCAACCAGCAAAGCCAGCAGCACCTGACCTTTCTCCATGTGCTCTCCACGTGCCCTTCTGAGACCACCTGATACTGAAATCCCCTGGTGAGGACAGCAAGGAGAGCCCAGAGCCAAGCCTCCAAGTGTGCCCTTTGCTCCAGAGTGCTGCTTCCCCAAAGTGCTGCTTCGCTCTCCTGTAAATGAGAGTTAATGTTTGATTTCCAACCTTCTGACCCAAGTCATTCTATGATTCCCCCAGTGGTGTGTAGCCCAGCCCAGCGGCAGGAACAACCCCAGATGGTGACACTGACCCTGCCCAGGATTCTCACCAAGGATTGCTTCCCTCTCACCGCATTCCCTGCTGGCACACGTGGCCTCAAGGGCTGCTGTCCTCCCGTCACCCTTGTGCCTCTTGCAGAAGAGGAAAATGGTGGGCTGTGCCTGCGTGGCTGCGGAGCCAGTGGCTGTGCCTCCCTGCACCTCCGTGCCCTGGCTGAGCCCAGGGCTGCGTGGTGCCGGCGGTGTTGGCTCCTGGCAGCGTGCACAGATGCTTCCCGTGGAGCAGTGACTAAGTAGCAGGGGTTGGCCTGTATCCAGCACGGCTGCAAAGCCTCCAGAGGTCACGGGCTGAGCTGGCCAGGAGTGTGACGGCTGCCGGGAGGGTTCATGGGAGGCAACGTGGGCAGACAGGTTGTGTGCACTGAGTGTGAGCCGTGCATCTCCCACCTCCTGTAGCCCTCTGCTCAGTGCTGGGACTGTCACGTGCCACCCTGACCCCACCTGTGAGCTGGGCATTTCCCCTTCCTTTCTCAGCAGCCACTTAGTGTGGTCACTTTGGGGATGAATGGGCTGTGCCCAGGGTCCCTGGAGGTCCCTTCTGGGACAGAGGTGCCATGGAGTGACCAGGGGCTGTCTGTGGTGACAAGGCTTGCTCTCCAGGGCAACCAGGGTGACATTGGTGCTGTGTCAGCGTTGAGGGCTGGGTATTTTCTCCAGCTCTCAGCAAAATGCAAAGGTCAGGGCCAGGAGGCTCAGCAGGGACGGGAACTCCCAGCTGTGGAGCAGACTCTGCCATGTCTTGGGTCAGCAGGCTTTGCTGAGCCCAGGGTTTGAGTCTGGGGACTGTGTGGTGTAATGCTTTTCCAAGGCACGAAGGAGATAAGTGTGATTTGTGCTGACTCAGATCACCTCAGAGGCACTTTGGCCTCAAGCAGGGCTGGAGGAGTTTGTTCACTTCCTCCTCCTCTTCCTCACACCCACTCTCCAAGAGCAGAGAGCTGAGGGCACCAGCACTACTGGATGCTGCCTGCTAGCAGCTCACCTCACTGGAGCTGGCAAGATGTGAGCTCTTTTGCCCTGTGAGCCACTGGCACTCCTCTGGGCCATGATTCAGCCTCCTCCTCCTCCATGGTTAAGCCATAGGCAGCCAGAGATAGTGTGCAATGTTGCCTTTTTGCCCTGGGGAGGAGGCTGTTGGGCTCTGTCAGAAGTAGCTTAGAAGTATGAAGGTATATCACACATCCTCACTGGTGCTGCACAGCACACGCAGCTCCCTCTTTGCTTGTGCCTTTCTGCCATTGCCTGTCCTGGTACAGCCACAGGCCCTGTCACCCCTGGCCCGTGGGGACGTGGCTCAGCACCGTGCTGGTTGCACATTGAACTTAGATGAGGAAAAGCAGAGTTTGCAAACCGAGTGAGAACAGAGCCTGATCCCAGCGCTGTCGCTGTTCCTTGGGGATGAGTCCCTTACTGCTCTGTTGGCTCTGAAGCTGTCCTGGGCTGTGTGCTCTGCAATGAGCTGGAGTTGGGCTGAGTGCTGCTGCGACACACAGCAGTATTTGGGACCTGCTGCTGCAGAAGATGACCGGCTGTGGACTCCTGACTTCTGGTACCTGTAGCTTTCCCAGACTTTTCTTGCCTCCTGTATTTCCCAAGCTGGAGAACTACTGATCAAGCCCACATACACATCTTCAAGGGTGAAGCTTTTGTGCTCTCTGTCTGTCCTTGCTCTCGCTGTCCTCTCCTCCAGCACATGGGTCTCTATTCTCCCTGCTGTGCCCGGAATGCTAACATTGCCAAGTGGCTCAGCCCCACACAGGTGGAGTTCCTAAACCCCACTCTCTGTTTTGCCCTGACAGGCCATCACTCAGGCCCCGAATGCTATGACTGAGGACATTTACACCAATGGCTCTGCCACCCTGGGCAGCCCTTCCCACAGCAACGGCCGTGAGGTGCGGAAGATCCGCCTGGTTCAGTTTGAGAAGGTGACAGAGGAGCCCATGGTGAGAGCTGGCAAGATCCCCAGGGCTGGTGGCACCGAGGGGGGCGGAGGGCAGGTGGAGCTGCACCAATGGGTTGGCCTTGGGGGAGGCAGGAGATCGCTGGAGAATCGGCCATGGGAAGAGGGTGCTGGATGCTGCCTGGGATCTGGAGTGAGCCCTCGTCAGTGGGTGATGCCCTGTGCCAAGAGGAGCAGTCATGGATTTTCCTGTCTTCCAGGGAATCACGCTGAAGCTCAATGATAAGCAGAGCTGTATGGTGGCCAGGATCTTCCACGGGGGCATGATACACAGACAAGGTAACAAGCCAGCTTTTCCCTGTGACATGGGCGTCTGTGTCCTTTCCTCCACCAGGAATACGTCAGGAACTTGGGACTCATCTCTCTGCATGGCTGGCATGTTAATGCGCTGGAGGCTTTAGAGAGAAATGAAGGGTTGGGGGCAGGGCTCTCCCAGAAAGGAACCTGAGACCCATCTGTCCCCATCCCGTGATGGGGTGACTGTAACTGGAGAAGGATCATGCCCCAGAGACTGTGGGGGAAACTCTTCCCGTTCCTAAAGTGCACAGATGGGACAGGCTCACTGTGGATTGGCTCTGCAAACCAAAGGGCCAAAAGAAATTAATAGGTGCCGTTTTGTGATTTTGGTTCTTGCCAAAGGAGCATGGAATGAGATGTTCTGTGCTTATCTGAAGAGGCCCATTTTCCAGCTTTGGGTCCAAATGGGAAGTCTGAGCTTATCCCTGCCAAAATAACCTAGGAGCCGTTCCAGTAATGCTGCTGGAGCCTGATTTATAGCATTCTATCTGAGCTGCAATCTGGCTTGATATATAAACTGAAAACACACAAAGTCAAGAATGTCTTGTGTTCAAGGGCCCTGAAAGGAGACTGTCGTTTGGCTTCAGGTGAACCTTGGGGTTGGGTTTGAATAACTGTGGAACAGGTGATTTGACCAGTATAGATAACCTGATGACCTTTGGAGTGGATGAAGTGTGTGTGTGTGGGGTGGTGTGTGCAGAATTAATTCCCCTTGTGCCTCAGTGGTAGGTGATGTGTGCAGCTCCACAAGCGCTGCTCAAGCTAGCATCATGGTTACAGCTTGGGTTACAGCTTGCTCTGGGTGTCAGGAGTGAGTGGCTTTTGTCCAGTCCTTCATTTTCATGTTTCTCCCATTGCTGGCAGGCTCCCTTCATGTGGGTGATGAGATCATAGAAATCAATGGGCAGAGTGTGAGCAACCACTCAGTTGACCAGCTGCAGAAGATGCTGGTAGGTATTTGTGTTTGGCAGGGCTGTTCCCAAGGAATGACTCCTTTACCTGCAGACATGCATGTTGGCTGAGCATTAATTCCCACCTATACATCAGAGCCAAACTCATCGCTGCTTGTAGCAGGAGCTGGGGCTGCCATCCTGGGGTGCTGTACTATGGCCAAGTGCTCAGCCCCTCCACACAGCATCTTGTCTTTCCCTCCTGAGAAGGACAGTTGACCCTGGAGGCCCCACCTTGTCTCCAGATGTGCTCATCCTCATAGAACATGCAGGATTTGTGAAGAAGGAGCAAGGGTCCAGCACAGAAGGAAAGCTTGAGGGAAACATTTCCATCTTGCTGCTCAAATGGGCCTGTCCTGTCAAGCTCCTTGCTGGGGCTGCTGGGCTGGAGATGGTTCATTCTGGTGACGCTTGGCACAGTGCCTTGCTCTGTGCACAGGCTGCTGCTGTTGGGCTGCATTCAGGTCTACATCCTCCAACTCTTCTTTCTCCCCTTCCTTTGTTCACTAGAAAGAAACCCAGGGGATGGTCTCAATAAAAGTCATTCCCAACCAGCAAAGCCGCCTCCCTGCTCTCCAGGTAAGTGCAGTTTCCAGACCCGTGGCTGTGGGGTTGGGTGGGACCAGAGCAAACCATGGGGATTGGTGCTGGTCTGGCTGTCCTGTTCCCTTCCCTGAGCTACTGAAGGAGAAAGGGACCTGGCCTGTGCAGATGAGCAGATGTGTTAACCAGATGTGTGTGTAGAAGCATGCGCCAGAAGTACCTGTGTGCAGTCTTTGGGAATGCAAAAGCAGCTGTGTGTGTGTGCATCGGGGAGCACGAGAGCCTCCTGTCCCCTGTGAGCACTGCCATGATGGCCTTGCAGCTGCTTTCTTTGGGGGGTTGGACTTGATGATCTCTGGAGGTTCCTTCCAACCCCTATGATTCTGTGATTCTGTCGTTCCCTGCTGCAGGGTGATGGCAGAGCCTCCAGGTGCAGCACAGTGCCTATGCTGCCACTGATGCTTAATGCCTCAGCTGCAGGCCGAGTGATGTAGTTCTGGCTGCTGCCAGCATGTCGGTAGGAACCGTTAGCAGTGAGCAAGTGGGAGGAAGGAAGTGGTGGGGGAGAGGAAGAGAGCTGCTGCTGCCACTGCCCAGGAAGGGGTGACACACTGCGGCAGGGGGTGACATGTTCTGGTGGGTGCACTCGGCTGGTTTTGTCTTTGGAGCTCTGATTTGGCTGAAGTGCTCGGGTTGACAGGAAGGGCTGGGATGCCCAGGATGTCAGGTATACTGACCTGCTCCAGGTGCAGGAGCAGAGCCCAGCACGGCCCCTCCATTGAGGGCAGGCAGGAGTGGGAGAGGAGGTCACTGGAGAGGTGGGGGTGCCCCCAGCACGTCGATGGTGCATGGATATGCTCAGGGAGCCCGTGCCCTCCTCCCTCCATCCACAGTAGTTCCTTACCCAGAGGAGCTGAAGTCTCTGGTTGTGGTAGCAAGTAAAAACTGCCTTCGTTCCCTCTTAGCCTTTGCTGTCCTTGTTCCAGCTCAGCCAACCTTGCACTTGTTTGTGTATTAAGTGCTGGCCCTATCTGCCCTCCCTGTTGGCCAGGCCAGCTCAGCACCTGGGGAAAAGTTACCTCTGAGTAAAAGAACGTGGCTGCTGGCTCACCTGTGGCTGCTCTGGGTTCAGAGAAGGACATGGGGACAAACTCTTGCCCAGCAACAACTGCTGTACTCCCTTTCATTGCATCCAGGCTCCAGAACTACAGTCACATGCTGCCTGGGTCTCTGCTTGTTGCAATCCTCTGCTGGGAGCAGTGTAACTCCTGGTTTTGTTTCACCTCCTCTGTCCCCACACTTATCTTAATTTCACAGTGTGACAGGTAGGATGGAGCAGATTCCAGCACCACGCTGCCCTGGGCAAAAGCAGCACCCAAGCCAGCCCCAGCTGGCCCTGCAGCTTGGTAGCTGGCCACTTTGAGGCCAGCCACAGACCTCTTGGGGCAATTTGGTTTGGGAGGATCCTAATAAGAAGCACCGCGTCCTCAGGTCTCTTAGGGTCACCTCCAACTGCAGGCTTTCAACTATAAACACTCACTCCTCATGCTGGATCCCGCTTGGTATTTAAACTTCCAGCCCCAGAAATGGGACTGGCAGATGTTTGGCAAATAGTCTGCACTGGGATCTGACCCAAGGTGATGTCTGTAGGTAACTCTTGTTGATGGGGTCTTCCCAAATGAGGAGTGACCTGGCTATTTCTAGCCTGGGGCACCAGGGCTGAAGGAGAGGGCTCCAGGCAGAGGGCTCCAGGGCAGAGCTTGCTGTGTGTTCCTCATGGGTTTGTGTTGATGACCATCTTCCTGGCACTGGAGAGTGCTTGCAAAACAAGCGTCAGTCTTGAACAGGTGGCTGGATGGATGGATCCTGGAAGGACATTCCATTTTTGTTGTTTTCCTTGAGAGGTCTCAATGCACAGTGTGATCCACGTGCTCTGCTTTTCTGGCAGCAAAAGAGACCCACGTTCGTGTTGTGTTGGTCCTGTGTGTCTGGCAGGTCACAGCAGCACTGCTGGAAGGACATACTGTGGGGAAATTGTTTTGATATGGCCCAAGGACAGCATGGTCTGTCCTACCCAGGGAGGACCTGAGTACAGATGCGTGCTGTACCTTCCTCCCAAGGAGAGGTGATACTGAAAAGCCAGGACAGTCTCAGGCAGGGATAGATGTGACACTGCTCTGGGCTAGCAGAAGGCCCCATGCCATGCAGGGCTGCCATGCTTGCTCCTGGCTGCTCACTACAGAGCCCAGAGCTGCCAAGGGGCTACATAGACACTGCACTGACTGACTGTGGAGCACATAGTCCTGCAAAGAGTTCTTTCATCAGCTCCCATTGCTCAGCTGGTGCTGGGAGATGCAGTACGGGGGCCAGGAGCTGGATACAGCCATACTGACTCCATCCCTTTCTCTCTTTCAGATGTTCATGAGGGCACAGTTTGATTATGACCCCAAAAAAGACAACCTGATCCCCTGCAAGGAAGCAGGGCTGAAGTTCCAGACAGGTGACGTGATTCAGATCATCAACAAGGATGACAGCAACTGGTGGCAGGGCCGTGTGGAAGGCTCCGGTACTGAGTCAGCAGGACTCATCCCTTCCCCTGAACTGCAGGAATGGTAAGTCCCTTCACAGGAAATCCCAGTCTGGGCACGAGGTGGCTGTGGGGCTATGTGCCACGTCCCCATCTTGTGGCTTTGGTGCGTGGAGGTCCTGTGTCATGCATGGCAAGCATCGGGAGCGTTCTGACAAGATCTGAGCTGTCTCACCATGGCTCATCATGACCCATCACATCTCACCGTGACCCATCACAGCCCCACATAAGGGTGCGTTCACTGGGTTTGGCTGGAAGAGTTGGATTTGGGGCTCAGTGACCGTATTGGGTAGTACCAGTGCCACTGCTGGGAAAGGAGGCGCACCTCACCTCATTTGCTCCAGGATGAGTCTTTGCTTGCCCCAGCAGTCACCCCACTGCATGTCTGAGGGATGATCCTGCTGCTCCCCAGGGCCCCCAAACGCAGTGGTGTTATTCTGTCTTGGCAGGCGTGTGGCAAGTGTCACCCAATCCAGTCAGAGCGAAGCCCAGAGCTGCAGCCCTTTCGGGAAGAAAAAGAAATACAAAGATAAATACCTGGCCAAGCACAGCTCAAGTAAGTGCAAGCAGGGTGCTGGGCCCCCAAACCCTGCAGGCTGCCAAACGGGGGGCAGGCAGTGGCCCTGCACGGCCAGCAGTGTCACTGTGGGGGCACGTGCCTGTCATCTGCTTGTTTAAACCCCGTGCTAAGCAGTGCTTGTCCTGCTCCAGGCCAGCAAAGGCAGCGGCCTGAGGACGTGCTGGCTCCTAGCCCAACCTGCAGCTCTGACCGGTGGCAAACAAGGCCATAAATCAGCTAGATAAATAAAGCTTTCCCAGCAACAAGCTCTCTGCAACTTCCCACTGCCTCCTCGCCCGGCTCCTGGGTCCTACTGTCCTAAATAGAAATAGAGTGAGAAAACATCTAACTTCTTTAGAGGCTGCTGTTCCAGCCTCCCAGCACCACGCATGTGCCGTGTACTGGTTGCTGCTGGGGCTGGTGCTCTTTCCCAGGCCAGCCAAGCAGGAGATGCTCACAGCCCATCTTGTTTGCTCCCTAGATTTTGCCAAAGGATCTGACTTTGCTCCAGCATGTACAGCCCTCAAGAGTACGGTCTCAACAGTAGCTGAGACAGCTCTAATTACTCTTATTTCTCCTTCACTGCAGTTTTTGACCAGCTGGATGTAGTTTCGTATGAGGAGGTGGTGAGGCTGCCTGCCTTCAAGAGAAAGACACTGGTGCTCATAGGTGGGTCCTGCTCCTGTCCTTGCATGTGGTGGGGGCTGTGGGGAACCAGGGCTGGGGTGGTGCTGCCCTTCAAAAGCTGGTAAGCACTGGGGAGCATTTCTTCTACCTGCAGTGGTTGCCAGGCAAGGAAATATCTGCCACGTGGTATTGTGCATGTGGTCTGGCACCTGCACTCCAGTGCTGAGGAGTTATTTCAGGAGAGTTTCTGGCTCCTAAATGTCTTTATGGTCTGTGCAGCTGCACCAAAGTCAGCACTTCCATGCTGAGGGTGTAGCTGCTGATGGAGCTCCTGGTCTAAGCAGTCCAGCCTGCAGGCACTGTGAGAGCACCTAGGGCAGGGAGACCCCTTCTCCAGGGCTGGAGAACAGCACAGAGGTTTGCACCTTCTCTCAGGCACTCCTCAGCCCAGCTCATGTCCATCCCTCTTTCCCTGTAGGGGCCAGCGGAGTGGGTCGCAGCCACATCAAGAATGCTCTGCTCAGCAACAACCCTGAGAAGTTCATGTACCCCCCACCATGTAAGTAACACAACCAGGTGAGGGCATGCAGCACTACCCCAGCACATTTCCTCACCTCCTCCTCAAGCCACCAGGTGGGATGGGAGGTGGGGAGATGTTCTTCCAGCACCATGAAACCTTGATGTCACAGGGCACCAGACAAGGCCCTGCAGGGTCTCCCTGCCTCCTGCCCCATGGGCAGAACTTACCCAGAGATGGCCGGGCTGCTACTGCCTGCATTGCAGACACCCCATCCCCATCCCACTGCAGCACCTGCTGCTCTCCTCACACTGCCCACATTGCCTACTTGTCCCTTTTAGGATGGAGTTCCAATGGGATTGGTAAGCCTCATTTTGAGGTACATAGGTCTTCTGTGCTCCTCCTTACCCCAGCCCCAAGCTCAGAAAGGGTTCATAAAGGCCCCAGGTTGGCTCCCTGGCCTTCTGGAGGTCAGCACCTGGCTGAGGGCATTGTGCATTTTTCTCCCTCTGCAGACACCACACGCCCCCAGAAGAAGAATGAGGTGGATGGGAAGGACTACTACTTTGTTTCCACTGAGGAGATGACCCGGGACATCTCAGCCAATGAGTTCCTGGAGTTTGGAAGCTACCAGGGAAACATGTTTGGCACCAAGTTTGAAACAGTGCATAAGATCCATCAGCAGGACAAAGTCGCTATTTTAGACATTGAACCCCAGGTAGGAAGCAAGGGAAGTGGTGGGGCAGAACAGGGACTGCTGCAGAGCAGGCAGCCCTTGTGTGTGCTGTGACTGTCCCTGCACCCCTGCCCTTCCCCAGGCTGTACCATTGCCCTTACATTGCCTTACTGCCCCCAGGCTCAGGGGTCCACAACCTTTTCAGCCCACTGTTGCACCACAGATACCAGTGAATCTTGGCTGGGGGAAGTAGGGGCAGCCACCTGCCAGCTTGCCACGTTCTGATAACTGCATTCTGCTCTCCTTCCAGACCTTGAAGATTGTCCGCACGGCAGAACTCTCCCCATTCATAGTCTTCATTGCCCCAACAGACAAGGCAGAGGAGGTGGGTTGGCACAGTGGTGGCTGCAGCTCCCCAGCGTGGGGCAGGGGGTGGCAAGGAGCCCACGGGGGACAGAAGCCTTGTAGCAGCCCAGGGTAGTGAGAATCAGCTTCTTCCTATTCAAATTGGTTTCTGTGGACCAGGAGAGCAGTGTAACTTTATCAGTCCAAACCTAAGAGACAGGACTTGGATATTCCTGCAACCTTAGGCTCTCTCCCATAGGGAGATCCCCAGCAAGCACCATCCCTAGAGGAGCACAATTAGTCCCAAACATACAGCTGGATGCACAGCCCAGCACCAAGGGCTGCCTGTAGCTGCAGCAGTACTGCAGAGCAGGAACACGTACCCTGCCATCAGCTGTGCAAATGGGACACACAAACAGCAGAGCGTTTCATTCTTTAGCTCATTGAGATGCTCACCCCTCCAAAATTAGGATGAAGCAGTACTAATGCTGCATAGTGCTGAGCACAAAGCTGTTGGCTGCATACTTCTGTTTCCCAGAGACAGAGCAGTTCTGCCTCTGCTATGCCACCTCCACCGGGAGAAAAGGGGAGACAGGCAAAGCCCCAGAGCCGTGTTCCTCCTGGATGCACAGCCAGCCAAGGCATTCTCTTCAGGCTGGGCTGGCCCAAGCCAGTAACTGGGGGCTTCATAAAGCTTGTAGTACAGGCAGCAGCTGGCATGGGGAATATGTGTGTAGCATCATGAAAGTAGTTGGAGACACATCAATATGTCAAGTATAGTAAAGCCAGATGGAGCAGGCAGGTTCCAGGTAGAAAAGGCAGTGAGGCAGCCCTCTCCCTTACTCCATGCCCCATCAACAACTGCTGTCTGCAGCCCCAGAACACTGAATCCTGCCGCAGTGGGCAGGGCCAGCTCTGCTGCACACACTATATATAGCGAGCTGCTGCAGCTCAGGTAACTGCTTGCTGGAGGGGACACAGCAGTGCCAAAATGTGACTTAGCAGAGCTCACATGACCCAGGCAAACTGCTTAGTGCTCTCCTTCCTCTACTCTGCTGACAACTGAGCAGCACCCAGCAGCACTGCAGTGAGCACATCTTTCTCCCCCCCCCCAGGTGCAGAAGCTGCAAGCAGTCCAAACTTAATGAGGGAGATGCCTGGAATTGGGTCTGGACCCAACTCCCAGGGTGACCCTGTTAGCTACAGAGGTGTGCAGGAGATGAGATGAGGAGCAGGCAGCTTTGCTGGGCCATGCTGAACACTCCCTACTTTTGGGGCTGTTGTGGTGGAGAGGGATCGTCCTGCAGGGATCCTACCTTCAGCCCAGCCTCTTGCCATGCAGTAGCAATGAGCAGCCTGCTGCAAGGTGGATCCCAGGGAGCTGCCACGAGGTATTTTAAATTAGAATACAAGACCAAACGGCCCTGATCTCACTAGCATGTAACCTGAGGCACCCAGCATTGCATCGAAGTCCAGCAAAAATCCACTTCAACTCCTGTGTTGCCGCATGCCAGCTCTCCTGGCCCGTTAGATGAGATGAGGGTGTTCTGTATTCTGGTACTTGGTAGCTGTTCTGGGGATGGGACAAAGCAAGCCTGTTGGGATGGGCTATGAAATCACCCTCCTCCTCAGCCTTCTGAACACTTTTGCTCTTTTCTTGCAGTCAGAGGCTTTGCAGCAGCTCCGCAAGGATTCAGAGAGCATCCGGAGCAGATATGCACACTACTTCGACCTCTCAATAGTCAACAATGGAGTGGAGGAAAGCCTCAAGCTGCTGGAGGAAGCCTTTGAGCAGGCCTGCAGCTCCCCGCAGTGGGTGCCTGTCTCCTGGGTTTACTGAGGGCATCCAGCCCCCATTGCTTCCTATCAAAGCATCCTGCAGCTGTGGGGAGCAGAGAAACCTCCTCAGCTTCCCCTGACCTACACCCAGCCCAGCACAGCTCCCTTCCTCTGCTGCTCCATGGACACAGTCTCAATTGGCCAACGCTCACAGGGTCTTCAGAATGCCCCTGCCAGGGAATGCAGGACAGAGGCTGCCCAGTGAAATACGGTGCTATAAGTGAGAGGTAGCAGGAGAGCCCAGGGCATCCCGACAGCTCAGAGCACAGCCCCACCTTGCCTGCTGAGGCAAAGCACAACCCTCCTGCAGCACCCAGCCCATCTTATTCTCTGCATCAGCCCTGGGGAAGCAGTACAGCAGCCACCTTCCAGGCAGAGGTCTCCTGCCTCTGCAAGAGCATACATGGCCCTAAACACCTTGAAAGCCTGGCAGGTATCAGCGAGGCTTCCCATAGCACACCAGAGCTCCTCAACCTAAGGGCTTCCTCTCACAAACCAGAAGAAAAGGCAAGCGTGGGTTTGACAGAAGCACAGAGCACGCCATCCCAAGGCATGCTTCCTGCCTGCATTCTGAGGTTCAGGTGGTCTGATTCACCCTGTGCAACTGTAGTTGTAAGAATGCCCTGCATTTAAATTCTCACCGTGCAGCTTGGATTGTTACCAGCTGGCCAGAAAAACTCTGCAGCAGCTGAGCAAGTCCTGTGGACCAAACCTCTGAAGGACAGTTCGATACGTAGAGTAGATCCAGCCACAAGCATCTGTTGCATGCAGTACAAACTGTCTCCTCAGTGATCATCCAGGCATGTTTCCTAGAGTGTAGGCTGTCCCATACACTGTATGCTAATGTAAAAACACAAAGGAGTTCCTTAAGCTGGAATGTAGTGACACACAAGCTCCACCATGACCAGGAAGCATCACCGTGGCCCCTGGGCAGACCATAACCACGTAGGTGCAAGAATGTTATGTGTGTTCAGCAGTCAGTTGGGGGAAGGGGTTTAACAAGTCTCGTGCAAATTGTTTTCTTTTTTTTTTCTTTCTTTTCTTTTTTTTTAAAAGAAGCCAAAAATAAAATCTGTTGATGTGCAATAGGGACCTTTGTTCTGATCCACTGCAGGGAAACGACGAGCAGCAATAAATGTGTGCTGAAACATTGCCACGAGTGGTGTGTTACCTCAGCCTGAGCACAGGTGGACAGCTGCTCCCACCTCCCTGAGCTGGAGGCACCAAGGTAAGGCAGGTAGGACCAGAAAGCTCTCCATGTGCTGCCAGACTTCTCCAGGACAAGTAAAGCAGAAAAGCAGTTAGCTTGCAGGCACATCCCACTGGCTTTTACCCCCAAACTCCTCCATTGAGTGCCCTATGCACCCACAGCCTGTGCATGTTTACTGACTGCCCTCCCCCTGAACAGACCTGGTGGTCTGAGAACAGTTCCCTTCTTGAGGTAAGCAAGAAAGTCACCCATTCAAAAATAGGGCTTTTATTATTATTTTTTTTTTAATGTAAAAAAAGAGTGAATAAAAATTAACTTTTTTCAACCCAGGTTCTGACAGCCATTGGTTGCTGTCCACGCTGACTGCATCTCTAGCATTGAAGGGAAAAGTCAGATGATTAAGACAAAAGCAATTCAGGAGGCTAAGACAGATGTTATAGGATCTCTGCAGAGAGCTCAGAACAAAGCAGCCAGGATCCTTCCCTACTAAAAACAGCTAAAATCCTGGCTCAGCACTGTTCCTCTAAGAGAAGTAACCTGCTCCCACCGAGCCATCCCAAAGAAATAGGGAGAAATCATCCTGAAATCATTCAGGCTCCACACTTAGTGCCCTGTGCATAGCTGCCAAGCCTGTGCTCACCAGCCTTGTAACATGCCCACCCACTGCCTCTGCCCCTGCAGCTGCACCCCCACCTACTGCCTCCAGAGCATATTAGATACCAAAAATCAGCAGGCAGCTGAGAGGGCTGCAGCCCCATCCCAATAATTTGGTTGGAGGCAGCACTGGCAACATCACTGGGGGACCCTGGGTCTGGGATCAGCTCACAGCTAACAGGCAGGTCCCCACACTAAAAAGCAAAAAGCAGGAATTTCACGTTCGAATCCTTTTATGATAAAGTTGGAAAGAGGTACCAAAGAATGGACGTTTGTTCTCAACTAGCTGAGGGTCAGGCCAAGTACACAGCCACGTTAAAATCAACCACAGCCCCTCAAATAACCGATTCAGCTGTCTCCAAAGGTGCCAAACCCAGATGGGCCATGGCTAAGCCAGTCCTTCAGACACAAACACATTCTGTAACTGTCGGGTAACAGTTTTGACCTTGGAAGAGGAGGAAGAAGCAGGAGAAGAGAGAAGGGGAAGTGCTATTCCTCTCTTTCATGGTGAAAACAAACCCCAAAGAGCAAGGAGCCGCATCTTCCCTGAAGATACCACTTCAGTTGGCATCGAGGTGTCCAGCTTTACAGAGCAATTCAGTGCAGGGGCAGTCAGGCACCACTCTCCTCTGGCTACCCTTAAAACAGGATGAGGAGGGGTGCTGGAGCAGGGCATGTCCTGGGCAAACAACTTCTCACTCATACGCACAGCAGAAAAGGAGCTTGGAACTTGCTGGCCCCTCAGCTGCACAGGCAGTCCTCTTTTTCAAGGCCTCAGACTTCTCCCTCCCTAATGATGAGGTCGCATGCTTTGGACAGATCCAGTTGCTTACTCTGAGCTCTCTTCCACCTCCTTCTGTTTCTTTTTCTTCTTCTTCTTCTTGGTGCTGGTTTCACTGATCTGCAAAGAGGATCGAGTTCAGGAATTAATCAAAAAGGCACCACTCACGGCTCATTTCCAGCCCACATGCAGCTAATGCAGCACTGACAGAAATCTCTTTCACCTCACATTCTTTCACACACAGCCCCAGGTGTCCAAACACCACACACACTTTTATCCCAGGTGCACAACAGACAGCAACTCTTCCCAATGCTTGAACCATTCCATGGCAGCACCATTACATACCACTTCCATTTGTTCTTCCCCACTCTCAGATGCTTCTTTGGCTTTCTTTTCTTTCTTCTTCTTTTTCTTCTCCTTTTTGCTCAGCTCCTCTGGTGGTGGAGTGGTTGGGGATGGTGGGGGGCTCGCAGCCTCATTTTCACTCTCTGACTCTCGCTTCCTCTGTTAGGAGAGCACACTGTCAGACCATTTTCCAAACGAGCTCAAGTGATGGAAAAGCTGTTTACAAGCCCATCACAACTGCTTTTTTTCCCTGATTGAAACTTCTCAGTAAGCAACACTTTGAACAGGAGTGTGAACTACAGACTGCCTGAAGTCCCTTCCAACATACAGCATAAGGATTCCTTTCTGCCAGAATTACACCCCAACTTCTGAAGTGTTCCCTGTACCCCAAATCCTTTTATTTGAAACACTGCTGCACTACATGCAAGCCTTGACTTAGACCCTTACATCAGAGCAGAGGTCCTAACTCAGGGAACTCTATGTACAGTGTTTGGATGGACTCCTCAGATGAACATTCAGTCTGTAATCCCCAGAAAGGCTCTCTGGCACAGCGACCTGGCACTGTAGCTCCATCCAGTGTATTTCTTTGGATGCTGCAGCTTTTACAGTACTCATTCCCACTTATGGTGCTGCAGTATTCATATACAAAGACAGGGACCGAAAGGACAGAGCAATGGAAGCACTCTCTGCCCTCACAGAGACAGGTTCTACCACAGAAGCACAAGATCCAAAGCAGCCTTCAGAGCCCAAACAACCTCAAACCAGAGAGCAGCATTACTTACTTTTGGAGCCCTTTCCACCTCTGACACAGCCTGGGGAGCTTTAGCTGCCTCTTTCTTGGACGACTCCCTAAAAGAGAAGAGATCTCAGGCTGAGTGGAACTGCTGCTGCCTTCCCCAAGTACAAAGGCCCCTCCACAAGGGCTCCCTTACCCACAACAAGCATTGGTTGGGGGGGGTCAGTGTGGGGATGACCTGCAGCCTGCACCAGTGCCAGCTGGACAGGACAACAGCAAAGCCTCCCTCTCTTTCATTTAGCAGACTGACTCCCTCTAGAGCCACAGGCACAGGCTACAAAGGGATAACCGTCTGCTCAGGGCCTTTCACTCCAGCCTGGCAGAGCATCAGCACGTTCCCAGTGACTTTGAGGAACACAGCTGAACACCAAGGGTCCAGATAGCAAATTCACCTTGGAGGAGGTCTGCCACGCCAAGCACAAAAGGCAGTGCCCAGAACAGTGCTCACAGCATGCATCCCATCACTGCACCCACCACTCTGAAGCTGCACACCCTGTACCCACCTGTAATCCACATACTCCTTCTTCCAGGAATCTGGTGTGCACTCATTGGGCTTTCCATGTTTGTCCAGCAGGCCCTTCTGGATCATCATCTTCTTTTGACTGGCCTGACAGCAAAGGGCAGAAGGTCAGACCCCAGCTCCATGAAGGAGAAACCATCCCTTGGGCTTCAGCTACCCACTCTAAGGAATAACCTAGGAACAAGCCAAGGCAACAACTGCATTGTCACCAGCTTAACCATTCTCTAAGGACCTTCTGACAGCTCACAGGAAACACCCACTGCACAGCAGCCTACAAGTCTCAGACAAGGAACAGGCAAAAAGCATCCTAACTTTAATTAATGGCTGATTTGTGAGAGAAGTAACAGCAGCAGACAACTGTGTATCACTGAACTCAGATCCTTGGCCATAATCATTCCTCCAGCTTAATGACCCACTACATTTCAGCTGAAACACTGCAACTGCACAGCTCCTTGCCCCTCCAGAGCCATCAGCATGGGGTGATAGATGAAGGTCATCTTTGCACAGAGTGCTAATGCCAACCAGTTGACATCACTTGGCTCTTGTCCACAGGAGGGCTCAAGCACAGACCTGAGGTGCCTGCAGCCCCACACCTGGGCACCCACCAACACCACAGAGTCCCCAGCTGCTCACCTTGGGACCGAGGCCCCATTTGCGGGGATATGTGTCTCTCTCCATGATGACTCTCTTGATCTTTGCTACCACGCCATGGTCGCAGGTAGAAATGACAGCAGTGGTCATCAAGGCAATGGCTGCAGAAACAAGCAGGGAGCTTACAAACACATTAAAGCAGCAAAACTGTGAGAGTACAGATGCAAGAGTGTGCTGGGTTCAGGCTGTTCCTCCTTTGGCAGCACAAAAGAGAGGCAAACCACCGCCAATGCCCTATTTCCCTGAAAACTCACTGGAGGAAACTTTGGTCTAAAGCTTCAGAAAGATGTCCTGCTCAAAGGCAGCGAGCTGATGTGACCACATATCAGAGGCTGGAAATGCTCCTGCAGCTGCCACTGAGGCACAGCTGGGATTTTCATCAGGTGGCTGTATGTGATCAGACGTCATCCCTCGTCTCAGTGGGGACAGAGCCCCCCAGAGAGGGGCCCTGACCCTGCCAGCACTGCTTTGCACCTGCAGGCAGCCAGCCACACACCACAGCAGCCCCCAGCAGGACACTGGGACACTGCAGGGTCTCTGGAGGCTGCACGGCACCCAGACCCTAGAACAGGAATCGGGGTGCTGCAGGAGGGCAGTGCCACTGCACTCAGAGAATGGATAAACTTCATCATCACCTCACACACAGCACACCTGAGCTCTGTGCAGCTGAAACGCTGAGGAGCACCAAATGATAGCTCTTAAGGAAGCACTACTTGAACTTCCATGCACGCTGTCTAATCTGCTACACCTTCACTGGAAAGTAGTTTATCATTTTTGGACGTCAGTGGGCACAGGAATAAGCAGCTTCATACCTAGGCAGATAGCTTCTCCTTTTGTGGTGATGACTACAATCTCCTGATTAAGCTCAATACCGTCTTCATACCTCAGGACACCAGGCAGCATGATCTTGGCTCCATAGCAAATGGCATTAACCTACAGAGGAAGGGAACAGAAAGGCTTGTAAGCGACTTGAGGACAAAAATCAATGCAAGAAGCACCACTAGTATTTTACCTTCCCATCGCCACTACTAACAATAACACTAACATGTTTCTAGCTGACTACCAATACCAGGTCCTGCACGGCACGTGACACAACAGCGTTGTGCACCACGAGGACCCCGATCCCTCATTTATGAGCTGCACAAGACAGGACACAACCTCTGCTCCGAGCAGCCCTACCTCAGCAACTCACCGCACTGTCTTTCATGACGAGCCGCTTGTGTGAGGTGAGCAGCTTCTCCAGGGGCAGGATGACACGCCGCAGGTAGCTGTCATCCTTGTTGTTGTCGTACTGCCACTGGGCGTCCAGCACGTCGTGCATGGTCACCATGTTGTCCTGCAAAGACACAGCGCCTCTGAGCTCCCCCCCTAAGCAGCAGCCAGCTTGAAACGCTCACAAAAGACATAGCTGAAGCCTAATGGCAGATAGTGTGCTGGAAGGGAGGGAGAATTGGTGTCCAATACACAAACATCTATAAAACCCCCATAGAAAAGGCAAGAACAAACACATTCTGCTGGCAGTCCGAGGGCAGTCGCATCTGTGCTGCTTCAGGCTTCTACCTGCCCAATGTCACACTGCACTGGGGTCAAGTGTGCAAGCCCTGTCTACATGAAACACTTTCCAAGTATGACCAAGCTTAAATATCTAAGACTTCTAGACAAAGTAGATGAGTGAGTAGAAGCCTGAATTAATCAGCTCATGAATCTGTAACACGGGATAAGTTACTGAAGCAACTGCAGCCATCCATCACCTTGGGTTCACTGTCAGTGAATTGCGTCTCTGTTAAGAGCACAGATAGGGCAGCACTTGCACTCTGATAATCCAGCTTTGCAAGGAGAGAAATTAATCCTAGAGTGTGAATGGGCAAGTGGGATCCAGGAACAACCAGGAGGAAAACTGCAAAGCGTTGAAGATCACCCAGAACTGCACAGCCCGAGCGCCCTCGGCTAAGGCACAGTGCCTGCACTGCACCCTGACACAAGTGATCACGCTGGTCGTGGTTTGTAGGCTGAGAAACACAGGTGGCATAAAACAAGCTTTCAGTCACCGGGGTGCACTTCCCAGTCGTTTCTGTCCCAAAGCTTAATTACCAGAACAGGGACAAGCCCCTGAACTGAACTCAACGCTTTGGTTCTGGACTGCCTATGGCAAGTCCATTGCAGGTCCATTCACAGCACCCCCCGGTCACCGTGCACCCATACCCTTCTCTAACACCAAAGAAGAAAGACCGTTTTGGGGAACTCCTACAATCTCCCATGTTCTAGTTTGCTGGTTACAGTCACAACCATCACCCTACCATCTCTCCCAGGATGCCCGACCGCACTCTGCGGAGCTCCTGCATTTGGCCCCCAACACCGAGCAGCAAACCAAGGTGGACACAAAGCGTTCGGATGTACGTGCCTGCTTCACAGCTCACCCAGAAGATACCTGAAACACCAGAGAATTTACATGTATAGCTGTAAGCGAGCCACATCTACAGCTCCACATCCAGCCCCTCACAGAGCCATCAGCATGGGGTGATAGATGAAGGTCATCTTTGCACTGAGTGCTAATGCCATCTAGCTGGCATCATTTGGCTCTTCAGCGAAGAGTGCAAAACTAACAAAAGAAAGTAGCTGAGATTTGTTTCTGTATCTCATACATTTGCAAAGAATGGGAAGCAGCACACTTGAGCTGTGAGTGTAATCAAAGGCAGGAGAGCTGTATTTTACCTAATCTTCTCTCAGGATCATACTCCACCAGCTTGCTCTCATAGATGGTTCTGACTCTCAGCTGTCTCTTAACAGCAGCAATGAGGGGCGGTCGCTGGAAGAGCGCTCCTGTCAGAGTTTCTATTGCCTGAAGGGAGAAGCAGAAGAAAGAACACCTTAAGCTGGGCCATTAGCACAGCTGACATGCGAGCACCTCTGGGTCTCTAGGAACAAGAACCTTCTTATGGAGTGACAGGCTCATCACCATGTGGCTATTTCCTATTTAAGAAGGCTGTGTGAACCACTGATGTGGTCAAAACGCTCCTGCAGCTGCCACTGAGGCACAGCTGGGATTTTCATCAGGTGGCTGTATGTGATCAGACGTCATCCCTCGTCTCAGTGGGGACAGAGCCCCCCAGAGAGGGGCCCTGATCCTGCCAGCACTGCTTTGCTCCTGCAGGCAGCCAGCCACACACCACAGCAGCCCCCAGCAGGACACTGGGACACCGCAGGGTCTCTGGAGGCTGCACGGCACCCAGACCCTAGAACAGGAATCGGGGTGCTGCAGGAGGGCAGTGCCACTGCACTCAGAGAATGGATAAACTTCATCATCACCTCACACACAGCTCACCTGAGCTCTGCTCCTACCCCCTCATCTCCCAGAGAAGCCAAACTCTTTGCACAGAGTGCCAGCGTGGCCAACAGTGTGCTGAGACTTACCCTGGCAAGCTGAGCCTCACTTTCAATTGCATTGTGCAGCCGAACAATTCCCACATACTCTTTGCCTGAAAGAACGACAAGAGCAGTCAGGAGCGGCCACTTGCATTTAATGTTGACCTCAAGGCACACACTGCCACACAAACAGCTCTCCTAGGAGGTGCACACCACTCATTATGCAGTAGGTTATATCCCCATCCCTCCCCCCCCAGAACAATCTAAGCTGCGTGTTTACTTCTTCACCACAATTTATTTCTTGGGATTTGCAGACTTGTGCCTTAAGTTCAGTTAGCACACAAAACCTGTCTTTTCAGACCTGTTTTCATCGACCTAATAGAGCACAAATCCCAGACAGAGAAGCAATCAGAAAAACCAGTTGAGACAGCACGGATGTGCCCTCAATGGCTGGAAGCAAGATGGATAAGCAATCCTTGAGCTCAAGGCACTGAAAGCTTAGGGCAGGTCTCCCAAAGACAAGAATGGAAACCTCCCTGCCTCCAAAACAACTCTGCACCTCCTCAGCCTCTCTGACCACAGTCCCATGGCAGTGAGCCTACCTGCACTCTGCTGAGACTTGACGAGTCGTGTCGCCCTCTCAATGCACACAATGAGGCACCCGGTCACCTTAGGGTCCAGGGTGCCACTGTGCCCTGTCTTCTCTACTCGAAGGATGCGTCGGATCCACGCCACCACCTCATGGGAAGATGGATTGGAAGGCTTGTCCAGGTTGATGAAGCCAGACCTACAGAGTGAGATGACAGATTAAGAGCTACACGATGGGGCTAACAACGGTAATGTGAAAAACAGGATGAGATCTGTCATGGTAAGATTGAGACATTCCTGAATAAACAGCTAGACAGGAGCTGAGCCACAGAGCTGCTCCACAGAGCACACAAGGAGCTGTTCTGCACTGCAGCTCACATGCCCCATGATTAAACAGTACTCTCCAGAATGCTACCACTGCTCAGTGTAAAATGCTGCAGCCGTGCTCCAAGCAGACCCAAAGCCCCATGCAGACTGAATGGCTCTCCAGAGAAGCACCAGGTCTCCCCTGGTGTACATCAACCTGCAGAGAAGCCACAAAACCAAACCAAAGCCACCCCCAAAGAAAACGGCCAGCAGGTCCCAGGCAGACATCCACTGGTGAGCAGCAAGATGGAGTCGAGAGAAAAGAAAAAGGAATCTGGAACAGAATGTGCTTGTGAGATGCTAACTGTGGAAGTGAAATAAGACAGTCTGGATTGTTACACTCACCGTACATAGTCAGAGATCTCCCTCTTCAAGGGATTAGCACCAGAAGGGAGGGGTGTGTAGTGTGTTGTCAGCACGTTTAGCTTGTCAAAGTTCTACAAAAACAAAGCAAATGACTGTAAGTACCATGAGATGGAGGTGAGACCGAGGACAGCAGCTTTGCCTCAGCACAGCTCCAAGTTGCACAGGGGATGCTTTGCATTCAGGTTAATGAGCTTCTCTGACTAAAACCGCAAAGATGAGGGGCAGAGAAAGGAACAACACAAATAAACCCAGCAGAGCCTCACTGCTTTCAGGTCACGGAGCAGAAACCCGAACGAAACCCAACAAGAAAGACGGGAGTCACCGCCCCTCCGTGCTCGTTACCTTCAGCAGCAGCGGCCACTGGGACGTGTCCAGCTGCGCCACACGGGACTCGGGCTTGATGAGGAACTCCTCGGTGTGCTGGATGTCCTGCGGAGCACAACGAGGGCTCAGTGTGTGCCGCGCGGTTTCGCTCACACCGCCCATCCCCCCCTTCTCTGCCCGCCCCCCCGCTCCCGGGGCGGCCGCACGGTGCCGAGCGGGACACGTGGAGCCCATCGCGGCCCTCCGCCAGCCCCGCGCCGCCCTCACCGCCACATCCTCGTCGGGCAGCGATCGCTTGTCCTTCTTCCGCCGTTTCTTCACGGAAGAACCTACGAGAGAGACGCGTTTAGCGGCCCGTTGGTCCGATAAGGCGCCTTCCAGGCCAGCCCCGCCGCCGGGCACCCCCCCACGGATCGCCACGCGGCCACAAGTCGCACACAGGATCCGTCGGCCCCCTCCCGTCCCACTCCGATCTCCCTTCCGCCGACCCGCCGCGCACCGTCCCCATCCGCCATGGCCACGCCGCGTGGTGCCGCCGCCGCGCCGAGAGCGGAAAGGCCGCCCCTTCCCGACAGCCCCCGCGTCACCACGTGACACCAGGTAGGCGGAGCCACAGCTATCCCGCCATGCGTGACCACGCCCTCGATGGCCCCGCCCACTCCACGGCCCCGCCCCGCGCTCCAAGAAACCAATCGCTGCAGCCAGGAAGCGCGCTAGCACCGCAGCTTTATTTCAGACGCTGAGCTCGACCGTAACACGGCATTACGCTCCCCGCCGGCGGGGCCACGCGACCCGAGCTCGTCCCGCCGGCAGCTCCCCGCGCACGCGAATTCCGCAGTCCCGAGGCAGCAGGGACCGTCCGGGCACAGTCCAGTGACAGTCCGAGCGGCTTTCAGAGCCCGTGTCCCGCGGGGCTGAGCATATCCTGCAGCACCAGGTGCAGCAGGTGGTTCTGCTCGGCGCTCAACAGCGGCCACAGCTCGGCCTGCAGAGCCCGCAGCGCGGCCGCGTCCTTCTCCTGGCAGGCCAGTACGGCGGACTGCAGCAGCAGGAAGAGCTCTGAAGGCAGGTAGCTGGCGGCCGCAGGCAGCCCTCCTCCCGCCGTGCCGCCCTCGGGCGCCTCCCAGCAGTACTGCTCCAGCGTGCGGGCGTGCTCGGGCGGCAGCTTGCCGGGCGGCGGCTGCAGGAGAAGCAGCAGCAGCACCCGCGACACCTCGCAGCTCACCAGCGCGTCCAGGAAGGCTCCGCCGGGCGCGGCCCCGCCGCTCCCCCCGATCCCGGCTCCAGCCAACGCCTGCGCCCGCGTCAGCGCCGCCAGAGCCCCGGAGTAGTCACGGCCCAGCAGCAGGCAGGAGGCGCGCTCCGTCAAGCAGCGCAGCGCCTCCAGGGGCAGCTTAGCAGCCGCCAGGAGCTCGGCAGCCCTCTGGAAGTGCGCGGCGGCGCGGGCGGGCCGGCCCGTATCGCGCAGCGCTGCCGCCAGCTCTAGGCAGAGCCCGGCCGCCAGTGCCGGCTGCCCCCGCTCCAGGTGCAGGCGGGCGGCGAAGGCCCCACAGCTCTGCGCCGCCGCCAGGTGCTCGCCGAAACCGCCGCGCAGGGCCAGGCGCTGCCGCAGGTCCCGCTCCTGGCGCAGGAAGAGCCGCGCCGCTTCGCCCAGCGCCGCCGCCTCGGCGGGACCGTGGAAGAGGCTCTGCGCGCAGCGCGCCACCGCCAGCTGGCACCAGGCCGCGTAGGGCAGGCTCTCCTGGGCACGCAACTCCCGCGCCAGCGCCGCGAACTGCTCCGCAGCCTCCGCTACGTTCGGTTTCCGCAGGAAACGCCGCCGCAGCTTGGCGGACACCAGCCGGTACCGCGACAGGAAGTCTCCATCCCCGCCGCTGGGGCCGGGGCCGGGCCCGGAGCCGCCCGCCCCACCGGGCCCCGAGCCACCCGCCGCCGCCAGCATCGCGCGTCGCCAGGAAGTGGCGCAATCACGTCGCGTCCCCCTTGGAGCCTTATTCCGCTGACCAATCAGCATCCACTACCGGGTCAGGCGGGAAGGGGCGCAGATGGAGGTGTGGCTTAGTATCAGCCCCGCCCATCTACGAGGCGTGGTCACATCGTGTAGGCCCCGCCCCCTGGCCGGCGGGCAGCTCGGGGCAGCCCGGTGCGCTGCGGCTGCCCGGCAGCAGCGGTCCCGAGGGCGCGCAGGCCGGCCCTGCGGCAGGGCTGGATCCTCCCTGTCCCCAGACGCTGTGCTGAACAGGAGATGCTCAACTTTCTGCCCCGTTGAACCCACTCAGAGTGCCGTGCGGATGCTGCACCGTGGGAACTTCCCTGCGTGGGTAAAAGTTCTGTCCCAAAGGGCAGTGCAGGTGTTGAGGTCTGAGAGCGAAGCTCACGCTCGGTATTTCGCACGGGTGGTGAAGTTCAGTGCATGCAATGGGCACCCCCGGAATTCTAAGAAAACCCCTGTCTGACCTATTGACTCTCAGAGCGTTCCACAAAGCTGCTGACTGAAACTGCAAGGTGGATAATGTAACTCATCCCTCTGCAGCACAAAATCCCCCAGGCTGGCAGTGCTGTGGCGTAGCGCTGATCCGCCTCCCCCCCAAACACCCACCGTGTGCAGGCAGCGCTCTTCCTGCACTCAAAACCGCAGAGAGCCCACGGGATGGCAGCGTGCAGTCGGGCTGCTGCCACCCAGCAGTGCGCGTTGGTCTCAGGAAGGCTGTCCTCCGCACAAGCCGTGCCTCGCTTCTCCTGCTGCTCTCTGGCTGCTGCACAAGGTGGCAGAAACCAGGAGTCTGCTGCTTGCTGCTCTGTCCTTAAGCACTGCCAGGAGCAGATGTGCTCTGTGCCTCCGTGGGTGCAGGTACCCAGAGGTACACGTTGCAGAGTGACTGACACCAGCGAGCTGATGCTGTAGAAGTGCCCTTGAAGATCCCCAGGCTTTCTCTAGTCACAGCTATTTCTCTGCTCTCTGTCTGACAGGTTGGGTTTATCTTTTAGATCGACTCAGCGAGGGCAGGAGGTGAGGCTGAGCCAGCACGACATACTGAGACGAGGAGAAAATGGGCTCGGTGGCCTCTACTTTCCTCTCATCAAGCTCTGAGATTTCCGTGGATGGAACAAGGCACCTCCTGGTACATTTCCTATCCTGCCCACACATTGCTGAAGTTTGTGTTCTGTTGGGGTCGGATGTTGGTGCCAGGTACCCAAGGAGCATAGCCATGGGTTCAGATCTGAGCCCTCTTTCCTTCTGCCCTCTCGCCCCCCTTCCGTTGGGCATTTTCACGCCTCCTGCACCATCAGCCTATTTGTGTCCTGTGTACCTGGGTGCACTGCAGAACTTACCTCCTGCACAACCTCCTCCACAAGGGCCAGGAGGGGAAAACCAGGCAAGCCCATGTGGGAGGGAAGTGGGGTGGGAGGTGTCATCACCAGCCAAGAGCTTATAGGGGCCACGAGGAACAGGAACTTCTGTCACAGCCGGTGCAGGAGCTGAGGAGTGCCAGGTGAGGTGGGCAGCTCCGGGTCAGGGCTGCCAGCTGGTGGGGGGCCGTGCTGAGAGCTGAAAGGAAGAGCCTGGGGCTGTGCAGGGTTGTGGCATGGGATCATTTGCAGGTGGTGGCCATGTTGCTGTGCCATACAGACACACAACGCGTGCTGCAGGGCTACCTTTACATGCAAACTGTGCTGTCTGTATGCACAGGGGCTGTGCTGGCCCTTGCGAAGTGTATGCAGAGCACTGTGATGGGTGTCAGGCAGAGCACGCTGCTCTCAAACCATCAGGTGCTTGGTGGCAACGTTGCTATGCAGTGAGCTGTGAGCGGTGAGTGAGGGGCACTCAGTCCTCTGCGGCTTTTTACCACTGTGAGTTGCAAGCAGCAAGCTCATGGAGCTCTACAGCCTCCATCCAGGCATGCTGCCCTGCCCTGCTGTCCGGGTACGCTGGGCAAGTGTGGAGGGAACAGAGAAGGACATTAGAGAAGTTGTGGTATGTGGGAGGGAAGCTGGAGATTTCTGCAGCTCTCCATCACTCAGCATCATGGAAAGTGGAAAGGGGAGGGAGGCACTGGGGCACGCAGGAGCTCATGGGCATGCAAAGGGTTCTGCAGGTGCTGGCAGAGGATGTCCAAGTGCGCAGCGTTGGGTCCCTGGGCTGCACATATCCCAAATTCATATTTGCTGTACCTGTTTTGTCACTTGTGTGAAATCAGAGCTTGGGGTGGGCTGACCCTCCGCTCCAGACACTGTTAAGCAGCTCACCTCACCCACAGCCACAGTCTCATCTGCCCGTTCCCAACCTCCCTCATGGCACAGAGCTGAGAGAAGCTGGGACAGGCAGGAGCGGGCTCTGCTTTGCTGCCAGTGTTTAACGGGCACATCCTCAGTGGACATTTCCCTACAGAGAGCAGGCAGAACATGTTCTTTGCCCATGACCATTTTCCCATTGCGTTTGGGGCACTGGGTACCACAGGTGGCTGTGCTCCCTGTGCATCCCAATGCCCGCATGCCTCCAGCTCGCCCCAATACCCCTTGCAGCTCTCCCTGCACATCTCATTCCAGGTCCGAATGCTTACGATGGACCCTCAGAGCACCCCCCCTCCTGCCATTGAAGTCGCTCAGCAGCTCCTGGGTAACTCCTGCTGTCAGATCCACGATGGGTTCCTCTCAGTGACGCTGCCTGTGATGTACTCACTGATCTTTGCCGTTGGGCTGCTCAGCAATGTGCTAGCACTCTGGGTGTTTTCATTCAGCATTCAGCGCCAGACCTCCATCACTGTGTACATGAGGAACCTGGCCCTCTCTGACCTCCTGCTGGCCCTCTGCCTGCCCTTCCGCATCGCCTTCCAGGACAGGAGTGAGCCCCGTGTCTTTTGCAATATTGTTGGGGCCTTCTTCTACCTCAACATGTATGTCAGCATCACTTTCCTCAGCCTGATCAGCCTGGACCGCTACCTGAAGATCATCCGGCCCCTCCAGAAATACAGGATTCACACCGTATCCTGTAGCACGTTGGCCTCTGGGATGGTTTGGGTGGTGAACTTTGCCTTCATGCTGCCTTTCTTTTTTGAGAAAAGAGGGAAGGGACCCTGTGACCATAAATGCTTCCACTTCAGGAGCAAAAGCACCGTGGCAGCAGCCTTCAACATGGCCGCAGTAGCTGCCTTCTTCATCGTGCTGTTGCTCTTCCTCTACTTCTACAGCAAGATATTTGCCAAACTGCACCAGGTCTCCTCAGTCAAGGCCCAGCAGCTGAACAAGAAGAGCAGCACGAGAGCCATCACCAAGACCTTCGTGGTCTTGATCATCTTCATCGTCTGCTTCACCCCCTACCACACTGTCCGCATCCCTTACATCCTGGCGCAGATCGGGGCCATTTCCAGCCTGCCCTGGAAGCAAGGTCTGCACCTCGCTAACGAGCTCGTGCTCTGCGTCTCAGCCCTCAACAGCTGCCTCGACCCCATCATCTTCTTTTTCTTGTCCAGCAGCTTCCGCAGGGCCGTGCTCTGCACCATCCAGGGCAGGCTGAAGGGAGCCCTGCTGAGCAACCAGGGCAGGCTGACCCCCAGCAGGTCTGTGACAGAACTGTAGGGTCAGGGTCCAGAAAATGGGATTTCCTCATTGCGGATTGGCTCTGGCCACTGGTGTTTATGGGACAAGACTTGCTGGGAAGATGGAACCACTCCATGAGACATGGCTTAGAGGGCATGGTGTTGATGGGTCGGGGTTGGGCTCGGTGATTCATTGAGGTCTTTTCCAGCCATAATGATTCCATGACTGTACGATTCATGTAACACCACCAGGGTCAGAGCCTCCATGGGAGTAAACAAGGAGGAAAGGACAACTGGGACCTTGCTTGTTCCTACCACAGCTGGCATAGCTGAAGAGCATATTTCCAAGCACAAATGAAGCTGGAAGTGCCAAAGGAGATTTGGCCTTGGCCTGGGAACCCCAGGCAGCTCAGAGAGCAGGAGCAGAGCTGCAGGCAGATGGAGGAGAGGAGAGGAGTGAGAAGGGGAATGGGAATCATTACTAAGGACACATCGTCTTCTCACCAAAGAGAGGAAGAAAGGGATGGGACAGGAGAAGGTGCAGTGCAAAAGCATCAGGGAAGGATGATGAGACATCAAAGCATCACTTGTGGAGCAGGGGAATATTTTGCTCCATGATGGAGCCCAGAGGTGAGCACTGCCAGACTTGCACTACAGACCTGCCAGGAAATGCTGCAGCCCTGCAACCTCAAACCATGTCAGCAACAGCTGTATTCTCTAATTACTGCAGCCTCTGTAACCTCAACTCAGCCCCACATCTCCGTGCACTGAGCTCAGGGTTTCCTTTAGCTCTTTGCCCCTCTCACCAGCATATTTGCAGGGGCTGGCAGCTCTCCTGGGCACAGCACAGATCGCTTGGGGCCACTGCTTCAGGAAGATTGCAATGGGCAGAGGGACTGCGGTGCCCCCGAGCCCCAATGGGAGCAGCTGGCTCTGAGTTTCTCAGCTCTGCTGTTCTGCAGCAGCTCCGAAAGAGAAACCCATGAGAGATGTGCAAGAGCTGCTGCCTTCATCAGCGCCTGTTCCCTTCCTGCAGAAGATATTTCTCTGTATTTTTATCCTGTTCTATGCCCACACCTCATTTGTTCCCTTATTCTTAGGGCAGTGCAGAGGTGGAGCAGCAGCATGCACTCCCTATTGGGCAGCAGAGCTGGGCAGTGAGGGGTGGGGGTTCATTAAGACCAAACTGCCATAGTGACCACAAAACTCCAACACCCGAATAATACTTGGGAGAATAAAATGTTTCCTTAAAGACTGATTGATTTGATTTTTCCAATCAAGGTATGAGCAGCTTCAGTCCTCTTTTATCTCTGTATGATGAGCAGGAGAGAGGGATATTTCACACAGAGGGTGGTGAGGCACTGGCACAGGTTGCCCAAGGAGGCTGTGGATGCCCCATCCCTGCAGGCATTCAAGGCCAGGCTGGATGTGGCTCTGGGCAGCCTGGGCTGCTGGTTGGCGACCTGCACACAGCAGGGGTTGGAAATGATGAGCATTGTGCTCCTGTGCAACCCAGGCCAGTCTATGATTCTGTGATGATCTCTTTAGCAGAGGTGGGGGGAAAACGCAGCCAGCAAAGCTTTTCCTATGGAAA